AAAACAGGGACTATTAAAACTCACACTTTAAAATTTTTTTTTTAAAACTCACATTTTAAAGAGTGGTTCCTTGAGCACACACTATCTACAGACATTTTTTAAAAGAATCCTTCTGCCTGGGTGATCTGTCTCCGCCCTTACCCATCATTTATTTGTATCAGTATGGACTCATGGATACTTTTTTTATATTTCAGGTTGTAATTCACAGTTGAACTACTTATAACTTCGTGGTTATTACTGGTTGAATGGTTCCCGTCTTGGAGTTACTTCAGTCGGCTTCTTTGACCATCTGGCATGCCATAAACATTCTGTTTAGTCCTCCTACTCTTCTTTTTTAAATTTGTTGACATGTTTCTCTCTCTTTTATATTCAAGTCTCAAAGGAGACGTAGAAGGTAATGAGTCGGGTATTCTTTTAATGTAGTTCCCTAAAACCAAAAGTTTGTACAACTATTCTGGTCCCCAAAGTCATCAAAACCTCAAGGCTCAGAATTGACCCCAAAACATGTTTCCCCTGAAACATACTGCGCAAACCTGACAGACAGACTCCGCGAGAGAAGGAGACTGCCGCCTTCACATCCTGCCGGAAGCAACAGTGGTGAGGTCCGCCCCTTCGAGCAAGACTTTAACAGCAACTGGACAGCCACGCCCACAGGTTCAACCAATCCGCAGGGGCTTTGGATGCATCCCGGATGAGCTGAGCCAATGGGTGACAGCGTCATAGGCTCCTAGCAACCGGAATGTTGTGTCTTTGCCAGTCTCTGCGGCGGACATAAGAGAGAGGTCTTTAGAGTTTGGCCTTGGCTCTTGGCTCGGCAGCACCCGGGATCACATTTAATGGAAAATGTGCCCATAACTTGAACTTCAGACCCCCGCCGGGGGCTGTAAGATTGGCAGGTAGCCCGCAGCAGAGGTGGGGAGCCTGCAGCTTAGGCGTCCGAAGATGGCGGAAGGACCTTTCATGAAGTCCACAGGTTCACAGCCCCCCAGGCACTTGCATTAATGTGGACCTCAATGTCAAGAAGCAAAAATTCTCACCACTGAACAGATAGATCATCATGATAGATAAAGGAATGAAACGGAACGACTGCATCTTACTTGGATCCACAGTCAATAAATACACTTGGCACCAGCAATCGAGATCAGGAAATGTATCGCACAGGGAAGGTCTGCAGTTAGAGACCTCACTAATGTATTGAGGAGCAGCAGTGTCTGTTTGAGGACTAAGGTGTACCTGATTCAGGCCATAATCTTTTCAATCACTTATTATGCATTTGAAAGTTGGAAAATGAAAAAGTGGTAATGCCTTTGAGCTGTGGCAATGGAGAAGAGTACTGAATATCACAGACTGCCAGGAAAACAAATACATATTGGAGAAAGTGCAACCAGAGTGCTAAGAGGCAAAGATGATAAAGCTTTGTCTAATATACTTCGGGCATGTTGCTAGGAAGGGCTGTTCCTTGGAGAGAGACATCATGCTTGGAAAGGTGAAGGGTCTTCAAAAGAGAAGAAGACCCTCAACCCATGGATTGACATAGTGACTGCAGCAACGGGCTCGAGTATGCCCGAGATTGCAAGGATGACACGGGGTAGGAAAGAGTTCAGATCTGTTCATAGTGTTACTCTGGGTTGTACTTGTCTCTACTATGCCTAACATTTTGAATAAAAACTCCAGATTTGAGCCAGGATCCAGCAGTAAGCATGAATGGTTTTCATACACAATTAAACCTAGAACTAATCAGAGATGTTCCTTTCTGGCAAACTTGGCAGGAGAACAAGATATAGAGGAACGGACTGGCAGCCACCTAAGCTAGCTGAAGTTCTAGATGTTTCTTTGAGCATCTCAAGACTTCACTTAACCTCAAAGCTTAGGGTACATCATGTGCAGAATTAAGTATACTGTTCTTCCTACTTTCTTCTCAAGGAAGTGATGCAATAATAAAAGTGAAAGCCCCAGTCAATGATGATGGGATATGGATGCTGGCATTAGTGTGAGTGGAATATGGTACCCATACTTGGCTGGAACAGATAGGGAAATGCCAGGAGTTCAAATGGGATTTGGAAGAGGCCGTGGCACCAGAGATATCATTGCTGATGTCTGATGGATCCTGGCTGAAAGTAAGGAATACCAGAAGAATGTCTATTTATGCTTTCTTGATTATGCAAAGCCCTTTGGCTGTGTGGATCATGAGAAGTTGTGGCTGACACTGAGAAGAATGAGAATCCCAGAACACTTGATTGTGCTCATGAAGAACCTATACCTGGATCAAGAGGCTATTGTGGGAATGGAGCAGGGGAGCACTGCATGCTTTGGAATTGGGAAGGGAGTGTGTCAGGGATGTATTCTATCTCCATACCTGTTCAATCTATATGCTGAGAAAATGATCTGAGAAGCTGGACTCTGAAGAAGAATGTGGCATCAGGATTGGAGGGAGGCTCATTATTAACCTGTGTTATGCAGATGACACATCCTTACTTGCTCAAGCGAGGACTTGAAGTACTTGTTGCAGAAGATCAAGGAATGCAGCCTTCAGTATGGATTGCATCTCTCTATAAAGAAAACAAAGATTCTTACCACTGGACCAATAGGCAGTATCATAATAGATGGAGAGGAGATTGAAACTGGCAACAAATCCACAACATCCTTGGTATGAGCAGCCATGAAATAAGGAGAATATGCATATAATGGGAAAATATGCAGTTAGGTCCCTTTCCAAATTATTGAGGAGTAGTGATGTTAGTTTAAGGACTAAGGTACATCTGATTCAGGCCATAGTCTTCTGAGAACTAGCTGTGCATGCGAGACATTAAGGATGACAGAAAAAAGAATTGATGCCTTTGAGCTGTGGTGTTGGAGAAGAGCACTGAATATGCCATGGATGGCCAAGAGAACGAATAGATTTGTCCTGGAGAGGGTACAGCGGGAGTGCTCTTTGGAGGCAACAGTGATGAGGCCTTGCCACATATACTTTGGACATATTGCTAGGAGGTGCTGCTGTTCCTTGGAGAAGAACATGATATTGGGAAGGGTGGTGGGTTGGCGAAGGAGAGGAAGACCCTTAACCAGGTGAATTGACACAGTGACTGCTGCAATGGGCTCTTATGTGTCAGGGAGAGTGAGGACGGAACAGGACAGGACTAGGTTCAGATCTTTTGTTGGTAGGGTCGCTATGAGACATAATCGACTTGATGGCACCTAACAACAACAACCTATTGCCATGGAGCTGATTCCAATTTATAGTGATCTGACTGAACACATTAAAACTGCTCCATAGGCTTTCCAATGCTGTAGCCTGTTACTCATCCAGCACAGTTTCCATTTTATTGAATGATGTATAGGATACCTTGTTGTACACCTGTTTGAAGAAAATTTGGAACCCATTCAGTGGACGTTAGAACAAATATCTGGCAATATGCTTCTGAAAGGTCACAGCCTCAAAACCCCAAATGAACACAGCTCTACTCTGTAAGACTCAGGGTCACTGTGAATCAGTCAACCCCATGGTCACTGGATTGGTTTTTGCTTCCAGGTGAACACCTGCTTTGTGCAGGGTATCTAAGTGGAAAGATCTAGTCTGGGCCAGACCAAGCTAGAATTGATTTGAAGACATTGTTAGCAGTCCCTTTAGAGTTACTGTGCACCCCAAGGTGGGACATGTCTATGGACATTTTGAGGGGACCTTCTTTCATTACAATTGATTTGGAACCCGCTCAGAGTTGAACCTCCATTAAGTGTTCAAGGCGGGTCATTTGAGTATCTTCCTCTGTGAAAATTCTTTCCATGTCTTTTGCCCGTTTTGTAATTGGGTTATCAGTCTTTTTCTTGTGGAAGCCCAGAATTATTCTATAAACTTTTGTTATGAGACTCTTGTCTGAGATGGTATTGCCAAAAATTTGTTCCCAATCAGTAGCTTTTCTTTTCAACCTTTTGAAAACATTTTTATGAAGGTCCCATTTATCAGTTTTCTCCTCTTCAGACTGTACATTTCTGGCTGTATTTGGCAGTCTAGACTAGGGCTTCTAAGCTTGATCCCAGTAATGCTCCAAATCACTGGCAATAAGAGAGATGCAAATCAAAACCACAATGAGGTACCATCACATTCCAGTAAGAGTGGCAAAGTTTAACAGGACAGAAAGTAATGTGTTGGAGAGAATGTGATGAGATAGGAACTCTTACATTGCTGGTGAGATTATACAATGGTACAACCACTCTAGAAAGCAGTCTGCTGCTTCCTCAAAAAGCTGAACATAGAAATTCTTTATGAACTAGCTATTCCATTGCCTGGAATATACACCAAGAAAATTATAACTGAGGCTCAAACAGAAACTTGTACACCAATACTCATAGTAGAATTATTCACCATCATAAGAACATGGAAACTGCTCAGATGGTCAACCACAAATTAATGGATTGAGAAATTATGGTACATTCGTACAATGGAATACTATGTAGCATGCAGGAGCAATGATTTTGTAAATTGCTACCTAACTTGGGGAGTGACTAGAGAGCATTATGCTGAGTGAACTAACTCAGTCCCACAAGGACAAATACTGTATAATGCCCATTACTGTAGAATGAGTATAAGGATCTAAGGCGGTGCGGGAGGAGGATGGAAAGAGAGGGGTGTGGATGGGGGGTAGGGTGTTAATCATAGGGTTGCACAATTCGATGGGTGGATGGGGTGAAGGAAATGGGAAAGATCTTTTGTGAAACATAATGTATTCAAACTTTATAAATAAATCAGAATAAAATTTAAAAAGAAGAAAGGAATAAAGAAAGTTCTCAAGGCTGTTAGTTGTGTGGGAGCCAGTGCTTTTTTTACTTGCAGCAGCTGATGGATTCGAACCACCTGTGTGTTAGCAGTGCAACTTACTGTGGACTACACCACCAGAGCTCCCCACCCCACAGTTAGGGCAGGCCGAATCCAAGAAAGTGACCCAATAAGAGAACACTTGGTAAACAAGAAGCATGTTGTTCTTTATATTTGACACTCGCGCCCGTCAGAGCCCATAGTCACAGGCCTCGGAGCTGTTCTGCAGGTAAAGCTCTAGGAAAGCCCTGACGTGGTTCACGTCCAAGGCGAGGGCGGATACTGCAGGGTCCTTACTCATGGCTGCCATCCAGAGCTGCAGTTTTGGGGTGTGGTCTACACACCTGTGAGGGGAGAAGAAAATTAATTAAGAGAGAAGGCCTTGCAAAGTCTCCTGCTTAACAGCACCGCACTTCATCTTGTTTTCCTCTAACATTTAACCCCCCAAAGAATCCATTTTAAAAGACTCCTTTAGAATGCATAGTATCATACAGATTGTTGTTATGATGTGCCCTTGAATCACCTGCAACTCTTAGCGACTCTATGTACAACAGTTCTGAAGCCTGCCCTGTCTTGAGCCAGTCTCATTGACTCCAAACATACCAAATCCCATTGTTACTGTATCAATTCATCTCATCTGGGATCTTCCTCTTCTGCGCTGTGTATCAATTCATCTCATTTGGGGTCTTCCTCTCCTGCGCTGTCCCTCCACCCTTCCAAGTATGATGTGCTTCTCCAAGGACTGGTCCCTCCTGGCCATGTGCTCAAAGTATGCAAGATGGAGCTTCAAAATCCTAGCCTCCAAGAAACTTAGTTTCACACTCTCTAGGATAGACTTGTTTTCTTGGCGATCCATGGTATGTTCTAGACTCTTTTCCATATATGTATGTATGTATGTGTGTGTATATATTTATACACACACACACTGGAAGCAGGAGTGGCATCCATTTCCTAAAAAACATGTCTCCGAAGACTCTATGAACTTTGATAAATGTCAATAGTTGTAGAGGTGCTTCAGGACTTTTGATCATAGGGTCTCTATGAGTCATGCTCAACTCAAAGGCAATCAACAACAACAATAAATATATGTTGTTGTTATGTGCCGTCAAGTCGTTTCCGACTCATAGCGACCCTATGCACAACAGCCCTAAACCCTGCTCTAACCTGCGCCAACCGCACCGCCTCTGACACACCCATCCCTATTACCCCAGTCACCGAATCAATCCATCTCATAGAGGGTCTTCCCCTCCTGCATTGTCCCTCAACCCTCCCAAGCATGATG